GGATTACCAAGAAAATGGTGTTAATTAGCACTCAAATATGTAATAAATTATTTATAATATTGTATTAGCTAATTCAAAATACAAAATAAAATTTTACGTATGTGTTAACTTTTTTTCACCTAACGCCGAAAAAATTTTTGTGTACTCCGGCGGCGGGTCTTGCAGAACTGAGCTCCGACCGCATTGTCAGTTTCCACGAGCTTATCCTTCATATCTTCCACTTTATTGCAGTCTTCTAGGCACTGAAAACGGTTATGTAACTCGAGCTGAAAGGTTTCGGGACTCTGGACTATAGCATGAGGGGGATGAAGCGTTGACTTCATTAGACGAGACCTCTCCAACTTAACGTTTAGGTTTAGTGTGCCTCTAACCATTCTGTGATCGCTACTAGTTTTCGCCTTCGCGATCACTGAGACATCACTGAACAGTTGTCGCCTGGTCGTCATAATGAAGTCAATCTCTTTTTTTGTCGCTCCGTCGGAGTTCGACCAGTTCCACTTCCTGTGAGGTCATTCTGGAAAAAAGAGTTCATCATAAAGAGTCCCTCTTTCTCCATGAAGTCGGCCACGTGCTGGGCCCTTGGGTTCCGTTGCCCTATTCCAAATTTCCCTACCTTCAGCTCACCGTTCCCTCTTTTGTCTAGTTTTGCATTGAAGTCTCCCATTAACACCGTATAGTGGGTTTTGGAGGAATGCATGGCTCTAGATATATCTTGATACATTTTCTCCACTTCCTCATCGGGATGTGCCGAGGTCAGTGCGTAAACCTGTATGACTTATATTATTAGAATAAAGTTATTACTAAGGAGGTGTACATATATCACAACATTTTTCGTGATTTGTACCACCAACTAGATCGTCTGCTGATCCTCCGTAAAGGTGTATCTGGCAGGCTACCGCTAACTGATCCGCTAACATGTAAATTTTCAAGCCATGTTTGAGTGGTTTACCTTTTACATATTGTCGGAATTTTAAACGACCCCTCCAAAGCATTGATTCATTAACGACTAGATTTTTCTTTGTATAATATATTTCATGCATCTTATTATTGGATTGGTATTGGAAATCTAAAATCCATCTTACTTTTATACCTAAATATGAAAGTGATTTTTCATTAAAATTATGAGCAATTAACGTCAAGCAACACTAAATTTAATACGTCAAAAAATTTAGGCAAAAAAAGAAAACACCGCAAATGCCACTGTAGTTTTTATTTAGTTTTTAGTGTTATTTGTGTTTTATTATTGTTATATTGCGCTCTAAAAGAGTGCAGAAACCATTTTTCATCTAGTCTTAGTTATGTATATTTTTATACCTCTCAGAAGTTCCAGCAATGAATATTATGCCATTAAGAATTTGATTGACGATCCTTTGTTTTGAAATAATATTTCATAAAGTTTCTATCTAGTTACAAAAGCAGTGACGAAAAAATGCTATAAAATATGTTTAATTAATACAAAGACCTAGACCATATGGTTATTGCGAAATAAAAATTGTTGTTAAAAAAAGATAATTTCCCAAATCCCGCCATTTTAACGAAATCGTAGTTTTGTTCGGTAAACTGTAAAATATTATGGCAATTAATCAAGTAAACCATGGCTATATTGAAATGTGTTTTAAAAAATATTTCTGAGGCTGCGACATATATAACATAAAAACTGCAAGGATTCTTATAAGATTTATAAAATGTCAGCCTTACAAAACGCAGTTTGGTCGAAAATTCCCGACGAATCTCTGAATCCGAAATATGAGAAGTGTCGCAATATCACAGAAGAGATATACAAGAGAATTAATATAACTTTTCAAATAAAAAAACTCGAAAAGACTGGATCACAGAGTGACCTATCTGACTTGAGTGATCAAATAGACAGTAATGACCTCAGCAATGAGACAGACCTGTTTGCCTGCGACAAGAGCTCTTTATCCAGCAGTATAGATCCTGAAAGGGCACTTACCACCTGTGAAAAATACATCAATATAAACAATAATGAGGAGACCAAAGTCAATAATAAGCCTGTGCCAATTTACAAGAGACCACGGAAAAGATTCAGAAAACGTGTGAAGAACGTGTGTCAGAAAATGTTGTGATTGCAATAATACACGTTCGTTAGCGAGACAACAACTGATTTATTATATGGCATAACTACCTACGTTTTTTTTTCGTTTAAACTAGAATTATCGTTACGCTGAGTCACCTTATCAGGGATTTGTTGTAATTTTTTGCATTTTTTTTCCCACAAAATTGCCACTCCCTCCGTTTACAGAGATGTCCATATCTTTTTTAATATTTTTAGATTTTGGACTTATGTAAGACATGTAAGACTTAATTAAATGACGCCTATTGCGTCGGATTCGTCTTCCTAGCTCCTTATCCCTATCACCTTGATCAATTACAGTAGCGCGGGTCCTTTTCTTACCATCTATACATATTACTTCGTCACCGATATTTAGTTTAGGCAACGTTCTACAATGTTTATCATAATACATTTTTGACTGCTGCTGTTTTTGCAGCATTGTTTTAAATTGAGATGGGTCTGCAACTTGTGGTTTTAGTAATTCTGTACACACTGGTAATTTACAACGTAATCTGCGACCCATTAGTAATTGCGCGGGAGAGTCCAAACCATGTCTCGGAGTATTTCTGTAATTCAATAAAGCAAGTTCAAAGTCACTATTCCCCTTACAAGCTTTAATTAACAAAGACTTAACTGTTTGCACCGCACGTTCACTTTTTCCATTAGCCTGTGGATAGTTTGGTGAGGATGTAATGTGAGTGAAGCCCCAATCTGTACTAAACTGTTTGAACTCACGACTACTATATTGAGTTCCATTATCACTTATAAGTATTTCAGGTATACCGTGTCGTGAAAATATTTCCTTCATACTGCGTATAACCACTTGTGATGTAATATTTTCTAATTTTTTTACTTCAACAAAACTAGAATAATAATCAACTAAAATAAGATAATATTTCTTCCTATATTCAAATAAATCAGACCCAACCTTAAACCAGGGCAAATCAGGAATTTCTACTGGAATCATGGGTTCTTTAGTAGGTGCGTTTGAGCTCTCCCTGCACACTGCACAACGTTTCACATACATTTCTATGTCACGTGACATGCCTGGCCAAAATATTACTTGTCTTGCGCGTCGCTTGCACCGATCTATACCTAAGTGTCCTTCGTGTACAATTTTCAACATATCTGTTCGCAGGGAACGAGGGACTAAAACAACATTATCTCTAAATATGACGTCATCTACCACATATAACTCATTTTTTAAAGACCAATATTTTTTGAGATTTTCTATTACGTTACACTTATCATGAGGCCATCCTAATTTAATGTAATTTAGTAAAGTACACAAATCAAAATCTTTTTTCGTTTCATTTTTGATCAGCGTTAACTTGTTATTTGAAATTGGAATATTGTTTACAATTAATTTTACTTGACATAGAATTTTTTTATCTAATTTATCATCTAATGCTAAGTCGGGAAGCGGCGCGCGAGATAATGCATCTGAAATATACATATATTTTCCTGGTTTATACTTAACTATTAAGTCATAGCCTTGTATTCTAAGCATCATACGTTGTAAGCGGGCTGGGACGGACATTAAGGGCATTTTAAAAATACTTTCCAAAGGTTTATGATCTGTTTCTATGACATCATCATTTTTTGCAAAAATGTATTGGTGAAATCGTTCACAGGCGAACACAATTGCCAACAACTCCTTTTCCACTTGAGCATACCGGCGTTGCGTATCTGTAAGAGTTCGCGAGGCGTATTCAACCGGCCGACCGCCCTGCAGTAGCACCGCACCGAGTGCATCGCGAGATGCGTCTACCGATAACAAGACTGGCTGTGAAACATCGTACAACGCTAACACTGGCGCTGTGCAAACCGATTCTTTTAATTTGTCAAATGCCGTCTGCTCACTAAGCTCCCAACGCCAAATACTACCTTTTTTTAACAAATTCGTTAAGGGAAGAGCGCGATCAGAATAACACGGAATAAATTTCGATAAATAATTAACGGCTCCCAAAAATCTTTCCAAACTTTTTCTGTCCGAGGGTTGAGGCATCTCAGAGATGGCTTTTACTTTATTAGGGTCAGGCCTCATACCGTTTTTATCAAAAATATGACCCAAGTAGGTAACTTCTTCAACTGCTATTTTGCATTTCTTTTTATTAAATTTTAAATTAATTTCCATAGCTCTTTTTAACAATGCAATTAGTCTCCTATCGTGTTCATGCTTGTTTCGTCCCCAGACAATTATATCATATATAAAACTGTCTGTACCCTCTAAATCCTCTAAAAGCTGCCTCATTTTCGCGTGGAATACTTCGGAAGAGCAGTTAATACCGAACGGTAAGCGAAGAAATTGATATCGACCGAACGGTGTGGCAAATGTACACAAGTCTGCACTCTGCTCATCCAGTTGTATAGCCCAAAAACCTGAGTTGGCGTCTAAGACCGAAAAGAAGCGCGCTCCGTGTAGCCGCGCTGCGAGCTCTGACACAGTGGGCAATTGGAAATGCGCGCGCTGCACTGCACGGTTAAGTTCTCGTGGGTCTAAGCACACGCGAATTTCATTGTCCTTTTTTGCGACTAGAACTAGTGGATGCACCCATTGAGTTGGATGAGAAACTTTCCTTATTATACCTTGGTTTTCCATATTTTTAAGCTCATCTGCTAGACGTTCACGTAAACTTAACGGAATCTTTCGAAGAGTAGAAATCACTGGAGGTATGGATTCGTCTAAAACAATATGATACTTTCCTGGAAGGCAACCAATACCGCTAAATAAGTCTTCGTAGTCTGATATATTAATTTCATGAATTCGCTTGACTAACCCTAACTTCTCACACGACTGTCGCCCCAGCACGCTTTGACAACGCAAATCGGCTATCGCAAACTTTAAGTCATAACGAACATTTTTATAAAAACATTGCAGATAACAAACGCCTCTTACTGGTATTATATTACCGCTGTACGACTCTCATTTAATGCGATCATTTTTTATCATATTGGAATCAAAACCCAGTTGCAAAAATCTTTCAAAAGATATAACATTTATATCCGTCCCCGTGTCTAATTTAAGGTTTTCGATACCCTTCTCAAAGGTTAATGTTTCAAACCAACCATCTGAACAATCCTCTTGACCACTAATGGTTGATATAAAAAACGATTCACAATCAAAAGAACGCGTGACATCTTGATTTTGTTCAATGTCATATACATGTTTTACACCGGCCTTATTATTTAAATTTTGCCTACATACCCGCGCAAAATGACCTTGTTTACCACAAGTGAAACATGTGGCGTAAACGGCCGGACATCGAGGCGTTGCACAGCGCTCGACTCCACAGCGCGGGCAGCGCAGCGCGGTGCCCCGCGAGGCGCGCCCGGCGCCTGTGTGCTGCGCGTCGCGTCGTCCTCTCCCTTGTTTGACACTATCTACCTGCACTACACTAGCATACACACCAGCACCACTAGCACTTAGTTGACGGCTACTCTCTTGCGAAATTTCTTCGGCCTGGCACAACTTCACCGCTTTGTCCAGGTCTAGGTCCTCACATCTGAGCAAACGGTCCCTGACTATTGTGCTGTTCACACCACAAACAATTCGATCCTTGATCAGCTCTTCTTCTAAAGTTGCAAACTTACAATTTTTACTCAATAACCGCAATGACGTAACATACTGCTGTATGTTTTCACCTTCTTCTTGATTACGCGTGAAAAACTTGTATCTCAGCAATGTAATATTAATTTTAGTTCCAAAATATTCATCAAATTTACTCAAAATTATTTGCACATCATCACGATCATCTCTCTCGTCTTTAGTGAACGTAAAAGTTTGATAAATGTCGAATCCTTCTGAACCAATTAAATTGATAAGTAAACTTGCCTTTACTGCCGATGTCTCCGAGTGCACACCCGAAGCTTTCATAAATAACACGAATTGTTGTCTCCACCTCTTCCAAGCATCAGCCCTGCTGACGGGTCCGCCTTCTAACTGTAATTCGCTAGGTGGCCGCGCGTGCTCCATTGTTAATTGGAGCACTCGTTATAATAATCTCTGAATAGAATTATCCGCGGTTCACAACTTCCCAAAATATTATACTATACATATGTATGTTGCAAAATATTCTATTGAGGTACTCGATTTTAAACATTTACTATGCTTATAATCCCACCGCTGTCACCATGTTGTGATTGCAATAATACACGTTCGTTAGCGAGACAACAACTGATTTATTATATGGCATAACTACCTACGTTTACAATAACACAAATACCCACAACAATAACTTGTTGTACTTTGAATTAGAAGTTAAAACAACAGTACGTAAGTGAGAAAATTTATAGCGGCTAAAGTCAAGCAACATGCATTTCGCGTCAGGAGCAGGTTCCGACTGGCGGCACAAATTATAAAGTTGTATGTACAGGACAGAAAGGACACTACGTCAACGTAGTTTTTAACAGTGGTAGAGCCACGCGGCAGCTTTTGCTGTCGCACGGATAGGCCGGCTCCAACCGGGGTGGTACCACGACCTCACAGAATACCAGCGTGAAGTAGAGGTTTACCTCTGCGTTTCGCTTGGTGAGTGCAGGTGGCCGGAGGCCCTTTTTACTGGAAATGAGGCATTCCATTTTAGTCCTCACAGGTGACAACGCATCTACATTTTGAGTCGCAAACGAGGATAGATGTAGATGTCTATGGGCCGCAGCAACCACTTACCATCAGGTGGCCTGTGTGCTCGTTTGTCACCCTTATCCTATAAAAAGAAGCTAGTTTTGAGGGCAAGCTTTTTCCCGCTAGATGGCTACCTTGTTAGTGTTGGGGTGTATAGATTATTCATGATATCGATAGATTTTGCAGCGATTGGGGAGCGCATTCAATTTATCGATTACTTTTACTTCCATTATTCTTCTTAGAGTTATATTAGTAAGGAAAAGGATAATTTTTTTATATTTTCTTTGTTTTAACCATTTTATATGTGCTATTTTTTGAATATATGGTGCATTTTAAAATCAATTACACAATGAGATCCATTCAATATTCTGTTTCTTGTTCGACACCAGTGAAACACTTGGATTTTACCCCAACACGTAAATTTTTTTTTGATTTCGTCATGGTGCTCTGGGCAGCCTATCCAGTCCAAATTATTTTGAGTAAAAAAATTTTCGAATATATTTTTAATAATATTTGTTTTGTGGCAAGCATTATTTAATACCGCATTACTTAAATCAACTAATTTTGAAAATGTTACAATAAATCTTGTACTAGGGTACATAAGATTTTTCCCTTTAAGGTGCTTTCGCGCCCTGTGTCTAATTAAATCATAGACACTAAGCTGCTGATCCTCATTATTTAAAAATGTTTTTTTGCAATTTTTACATTTATTCTGGCACAGTTTACTTATAAGTGTAACTCCTCGCATTTACATTTATTTTTTCTTCAAATATGGAGGAGACCATATTTCCTCATAAGTTTACTTCAGATGAACAACTAAGATTTCTATTGTCGTCACTACCGGGAACTGATTGTTCGTCTGCAGCAAATTCCTCATTCAATAACGTTATGTTTAATATATTCTCCCCCATAGATAAAATAATCATCCAGCAAATGGACATCAGTTACTAAATAAATACCATTACAGACCTCTTTTGGTTAATTAATGAAGATCATTTATTTATTTATCATAGCAGAGTACATTTCATCAAAAGACAACTTTAAGATCCATAATATGTAATTTCTTGGTACTGTAGGTCAAAAAGGTGTGTAGAAATAAAGTTGCTCACCAAAGTTTATAAGGAATATATTCACTAACACACATGACACTAACAAAGTTTAAGGCTCACAGTACAGAAGGAAGGAAGCGTTGAAGAATGAAGATGAATACAATTATGAAAGTCCGAGCAGATATGAAAAACAATAAACATAAAATAAGCAGCGCGTAAGTAGCAACAGTTATGATATAAGGCGTAAAGCATTGAGCGACATGCGCTTCGCGTCGAGAGTAGGTTCCGACTGCCGGGCGCGTCGTTGATCGCGGTCACTGCGCCGGAGTTCATCGCGCCAACAAAAGATTCGGAGTTTTTTGCTCGACGATACGATTGCACGGCGAACTGGTTAAATGCGTGGTGTTCCGTATATTATTATGAATGTGTAAAGTAGTGTACGTGTGTTAATATATATGGCACGTATATTAATAAATAATATATATTAGATAAATGATCTGTTAAATATTTTCTACATAAAAATTTATAAATATATTAGGAAAGTGCAAAAGTTAATTAAAACTAAAATTTTATCTGCTATTATACTATATATTAAAAACTATGATAATAAAAAAAAAAAACTAAAACTAGAAACTTAATTATCATATAGTCCTACTCCCCGCGGTATCGTGCCAAGAACGCTGGCTGCGTTAATATTATTGTTATTAAATAAATGACATGTAAATAAATAAATAAATAAATAGGTGCCTACATCACTCCCCCCCGAGACCATTCTATGGGCGATAAAAATCCGGAAAATTTACTCGGCGCCCTGAACGTGTAGTACGTGGTATATCAGTATATACTGGTGAGGGAGTGGTAGTTGAGTGTTGTGAAGAGTGATTGTCAGAGAGTATGTAGGCCGGTTTCAGTCGGTCTATGGATACACTGACTTCTTTACCCTTAAACAGTAGTTTAAACACTTTGTTGTCACGTGACAGTACTTTATGTGGACCGGTGTATGCTGGTTGTAAAGAACCTCGTGAAGCATCTTCGCGAAGAAAAACATAATCGCAAGTGGCAAGATCCTTAAAAACAAATGTTTTGCCGGTACTATGGCGTGATGTTGGTACAGGCTGAAGATTTTTAGCGATTTTACGCAAACGTGCAGTGAACTCAGTGATGTCCTGTGGGCCATCTGAACTGGGTTCAAAGAATTCACCCGGTAGCCTGAGGGGCTCGCCGTATACTAATTCGGCGGACGATGTCTGTAAGTCCGCTTTAAACGCACTACGGATACCAAGTAGAACCCACGGTAGGGATTCAGTCCAACTGCTATCGGCGTGGCACATTATCGATGCCTTTAGTTGACGGTGAAAACGCTCAATAATTCCGTTGCAAGCTGGATGATATGCTGTGGTACGCTTGTGCTTAAATCCGGTTATCCTAGACAGAAATTGAAACAATGCGGACTCAAATTGTCGTCCGCGATCTGTGACAATTTCTTCAGGACAACCGTAGCGTGCAATCCATTGAAACAGCAAAGCTTGTGCAACTGATTCCGCCGTTATGTCAACTAAAGGCACAACTTCTGGCCATCTAGTAAATCGGTCGATAACAGTCAGGCAGTATCGGCAACCCTTGGACGGAGGGAGAGGACCAATAAGGTCGATGTGTATTTGCCTGAATCGCGTACGAGGCAACGCGAAAGTGCCCCAAGGAGAAGACACATGTCGGGTTACCTTTGTACGTTGACAGGCGAGGCAAGATTTAGCCCAGTCTCGGCAATCTTTCCTGATGCCGGGCCAGACGTACCGTTCCGCTACTAGTTGAGCAGTAGCGTTCGCACCTGGGTGGCTCAGGCAGTGCAGGCTGTTGAAAACCTGCCTGCGAAGGGGAGCGGGTACAAATGGCCTGGAAGTCGGCGTACTTATATCACAGTACAATTTGGTACGACTTCCAGGTATATTGAACTGTTCTAGGCGGAGGGATGATGATCCACTCTTCATAAATTGAGCAAGCTCTAGGTCGGAGGCTTGGGATTCAGCTATAGCAGTCAGGTCAACAGGTGCCTCAAGTTCTTCGATGCGGCTTAAAGTGTCGGCCACGACATTGTCTTTGCCGGAGATATGCCTAATATCGGTGGTGAACTGGGCAATGAAATCTAAATGTCTATACTGACGTGGCGAGCAGTTGTCCTTCCTTTTGTGGAATGAGAAACTGATCGGTTTATGGTCAGTATAGATAGTGAAGTGCCTTGCTTCCACCATATGACGAAAATATTTAATAGCTTCGTATATAGCTAAAAGCTCTCGATCATATGGGGAATATCTCTGTTGACTTGTGCTCAACTTCCTGGAAAAGAAGGCAAGTGGTTGCCAGACTCCGTCTTTGAGCTGCTGAAGTACGGCACCTATGGCGACGTCAGATGCATCAGTCACGAGTGCCAATTTAGCTTCGCAGTCTGGGTGGGCAAGCAAGGTTGCATTCGCGAGACTACGCTTGCACTCCTCAAAAGCTTTTGCTGCCTCACCGTTTAAACTAATAGGTTGCCTACCTTTAACAGCCCCTGTCAGAAGGTTGTTAAGGGGGGCTTGTTTTTGAGCAGCATTCGGCAAAAAACGCCGATAAAAATGTATGATGCCCAAAAACCTTCTTAGCTGTCGCACCTCCTTAGGTTGAGGGAAATCTAAAATAGTTTGGACCTTCTCAGGCAAAGGTTTGATTCCGTTTTCGGAGATACGGGACCCTAAAAATGTTACCTCCTTTTCGCCGAAAGTACACTTGGAAGTGTTGATGAGTATACCGTAGCTTTTAAGTCTGCTAAACACTTGGCGAAGGTGTTCCTCATGCTCCGCTTCGTTTCGTGAGAAGATCAGGAAGTCGTCAAGGTAAGAATAGCAGAATTCTAATCCTCTGATCATCTCGTCCACGAAGCGTTGAAAAGTTTGTCCTGCGTTACGGAGGCCGTAGCCCATAAAGGGAAACTCATACAACCCGAACGGCGTTGTTATTGCGGTCTTAGGGATGTCGCTCTCACTGACAGGTATTTGGTTATATGCTTTTACAAGGTCAATGGTACTAAACACTTTGCATCCGGTTATGCTATGGGTAAAATCGTGGATGTGCCTGATTGGATACCTGTCAGGAATGGTCCGGGCATTGAGCATCCTATAGTCTCCACACGGACGCCACCCGTTATCCTTCTTAGGGGTGAGGTGAAGAGGTGATGACCACGGGCTTGCGGAGGGGCGGGCTATACCATTGGCGATCATGGAGTCGAATTCTTGTTTGGCAATTTTAAGTTTGTCTGGTGCTAAACGCCTGGGTGAAGAAGTCACCGGTGGACCTGGTGTCGTGTGAATGTGGTGAACAGTGTTGTGAGGTATAGTGTGTTGTGTACCAGCTGGCCGTGTAATCTCAGGGAACTCACCCAAAATTTTATGGTACCGCGTGCAGCCAGTCGAAACCTTTACAGATGTTACATTATCTGAACAAGAAATGAAACATACATTAGTTCTTAAAGTAGTAACATTATCTATTAAGCATTGATTTCTACAGTCTACAATAAGGTTATAAAACGATAGGAAATCGACACCAATTATTGCTTTGGTGACATCAGCCACCACAAAACGCCACTTAAAGTTCCGACGCAATCCAAGGTCGAGACTTAGATGTGCGAAGCCATAAGTTTTTATGGGACTCCCATTTGCTGCGCAGAGTTCATAATTTGTGGGTGTCCGCCGATCTCGAAGTAATGAACGAGGATACACACAAAGGTCGCTGCCTGTGTCAATTAAAAATTGTATTTTCGACGAACGGTCCGTGACGAACAGGCGACCAGTTTTACTAGGACAGTCATCAGTCGCCATTAAGGACTGTCCTTGCAGTTTCCCGTCTTGTAGTCACATGGTGCCACGCATTTGTTCGCGCGGTTACCAAATTTCGCGTGGTACCAGCATAGTGGGAATTTCCTATAACGCGACTGCGATCGAGATTTCGACCGCCCTCTATGTGGATTACGTGTTCGGGAACGAGCTCTACAGTTTACCTGTGTGGTCAATTTGTGTAGTTGTTTCCGTAGCTCGGCGACTTCATGGGTAAGAGCGTCGAAGCTGGAACCAGGTGTTGCGGTAGCTGTTGAGGCGGCTGCAGCTACCTGTGGTGACGCTGGAACGATATCCTGAATGCAGTCTGCCAAGTCCGCCAGCACCTCCAGCGACGCGCTAGGTTGAGCCGCTAAAACTGTTTGGATGTTCCTTGGAAGTCTGCTTGTCCAAATAGTTTGCAGGAAGTCATCAGGAACTTGAGGTCCAGCAAGGCTCTGGAGATGTCGCAGGAACTGCGAAGGCTTTCTGTCGCCTAGCTCCTCATGCATCAGAAGCTGTTTTACCTTCTTTTCATGTGAGGTACTCAACCGTTTTATTAACTCAGTCTTCAATTTTAAGTATTTGTCATTGAGAGGAGGGTTAATAATTATATGTTTTATCTCTTTTGAAAATTGATGGTCTAATTGGCCGATGACATAACTGAATTTCGTCTAGTCGTTCGTGATTCCAGAAATCGCAAATTGTCCCTCGACTTGCGCGAACCATATTTCGGGTTCTTCGGGCCAAAACGGAGGAACCCTAACGCCTACTTTAAAAATTTCCGTTGAAATGTCGGTCGCTACGGTTGTACGGGTCTCGCCGCTGCCTACCCGTCCATTTGCATTTTTATTATTGCTGCCACTGCTTGCATCTTCAAAATAATCACCGCGGTCCATAGTGTTCAGTGCAGGGGTCACCAATGTAGGTCAAAAAGGTGTGTAGAAATAAAGTTGGTAACCAAAGTTTATAAGGAATATATTCACTAACACACATGACACTAACAAAGTTTAAGGCTCACAGTACAGAAGGAAGGAAGCGTTGAAGAATGAAGATGAATACAATTATGAAAGTCCGAGCAGATATGAAAAACAATAAACATAAAATAAGCAGCGCGTAAGTAGCAACAGTTATGATATAAGGCGTAAAGCATTGAGCGACATGCGCTTCGCGTCGAGAGTAGGTTCCGACTGCCGGGCGCGTCGTTGATCGCGGTCACTGCGCCGGAGTTCATCGCGCCACCACTACGTCATCGCTATGAACAAAAAATTCGGATTTTTTTGCTCGACGATACGATTGCACGGCGAACTGGTTAAATGCGTGGTGTTCCGTATATTATTATGAATGTGTAAAGTAGTGTACGTGTGTTAATATATATGGCACGTATATTAATAAATAATATATATTAGATAAATGATCTGTTAATATTATTATTATTAAATAAATGACATGTAAATAAATAAATAAATAAATAGGTGCCTACAGTACAAATAAACACGCAAAAAAGTAAAACTATTTAATAAGAAACTGAAACCCTTCTCCTTCAAAAATGTTTCTATTCTGTGGGTGAATATTAAGAAGTCTGTTGACATTATGATTGTATTAAATTAAAATTTTACATTATGGCATTCGTTTTATAGAAGGATAAAAAATATTAATTTAAATTTAGTTATATCTATTAATATATTTTAATCTAGTAATATTTGAGAATCTCATTGACATTATTTTATTAAGTAGAACTTTACTCTGTGACATTTTTATTTTTTAAATTAAACTATAATATATTTAAATAGTTGTACAAAGAATATCTTTTCTACTTATATCTTGTCTTATATGATTCCCTTGAGTTTGGAATGCCTGAAAAAGCCCATTTAATTATAAGCACATAATATAACTATCCTAAAACCTTTACCCCATTAGCAAGACTAGAAAACCACCCCAATGAACTCGCTGCTATGTTGCCATCTCTTCCCTACTAAAAACACTTTAAAAGACTACCATAGCTGAAATATGAATAGTTATCCTAATTGAAAAAATAGGCTGTAGTTAACTTACAAAAAGTTGCTGTATACTGCATTGTGGCAGCTAGACTTTCACTGAAGATTTGAGTGCAGTTTTTAACTTTCATCTGCTTTATTTTTTCTGGTATAACATGTTCATCTGACAATTTTGGGAGCATTCTTATATTTCCTAATTTATAGTCATAGTTGTAAATATCTCCAATGTCTTCCCATTTTGTTAGTTTTCCCTCAAAATTAAATTCTTATTCAACATATTGTTACGTAGGCCTTTTATTAAGTGTGGAGGGTCATAGATCACACTTAAGTTACTTCCCCCCATTAGGATACTATCATCTATAAAAAAATATTTCATTACAATGATGGGATATTATTTTTACAAGGTTTATAATTTTGTGAAAGAAAAACAGGTGAAGTGTTCAACTCGAAGACTTTATATGAGTTGTGCATTTTAGCTTTCACTCGCTAAAATGTTTTCAGAAACTTTTGGTCTCGAAAACCAAAATTATCCATACTCAAAGTTTAATTTAACCCATTTTAAAGTAGGAATCGACATAATACTTGGTATGTTATATGTATTTAATATAATTTTTTAAGCTTACCAAATTTTATATTATTTTGAAAACAGTGTCGCTTAGTATCTTCTTGAAGATCTTTAAGAGCGCGCTGTGATGTAGCTCACTGGTCACAAATGAAGGCTAAAGGCTTCAATCCAGATTCTAATACTATCTTAACCATATCCTTTAAATATTGTTTTGTAATGTTTCAAGGTAGCTGCTGGTGTAGTTCCTGGGCAAAAATAGTAAGCTACTGGTTGTCGCCCTGATGCACAAATACCTCTGATCATCACTACCAAAGCATGGTAAATAAGTAACGTTATAGTGAGGTGGTAAGATTTAGTTTTTGCTTTATTATAAGATGTTATTTGTAACTTGTTGATAAATAAATAAATAAAAATATCAATAAATTGCTTGAATTAGTAAGTCGAGTTCATCACTAAATTGTAGACAGACACTGCTAACCTAAAGCCCCGTATTCATGGGAAACATTTGTTGAGAAACAGTTGATGAAACTGGGAGAATGTTGAATAAACTTTGTTTAAATCAATATACGTTGTCCACACGCCAGTCTGCGTTAAAATGTTCCTCGAAGAAGTAGTGTTGTTGTGTTCTCTGTATCTGATGTACAGGATTTCTAATAAAAAAAGAAAAAAGATGGTGGATTCGAAATTATATCCTGCAAAGAGAAAATTTGATGAGTGACCTCAGAATGACAGATGGATCATTTATTAACTTTACGAGAATGTCGAAAAGTGATTTCGAACATCTTCTGGAAATGATTGGTCCGTTAATAGCCAAAAGGGAAACAAATATTCGTCGGCCAGTTTCACCTCAAACGAGGCTGGCTATTATATTACGGTATCTTGCAACTGGAGATTCATACAGTTCTCTTTCATACACATTCAGAGTATCTAAACAATTGATCAGCAAAATCATACCACATGTATGCCAAGAACTTATTAACTCGCTATCAGGATATGTCAAGGTAGGTACAAAAACAATATTTGTGTAGTCAAGTATTTTAATTAATCATTAACATTTCTTAATTCAGCAACTATATATTCACCATAAATATCAAATGGATCCTTGTTCTCCTTTTCACCCATCTTTTTTTTCGCACTTTTCCACGAAAGTCTTATTTCTTTTCCACGAAGATGTAGATGTTGTAGCATTTGATGTGGGCCTTGGTGGTTGAGATGGCTCTAACTCCATATCACTTTCAAGTGAATTGTTTTAATCCACCCAATCCATGGAATTTTCCACATTCCATTGGAGCCGTTGATGGGAAACACGTTTTGATTGTAGCGTCAAATAATTCTGGAAGTGAATATTACATTTACAAAAATCAGTTCAGCATGGTACTTCTGGCAATTGCAGATAAAAATTATAACTTTATATACGCAAATTGTGGAGCTAAGGGTCGGTCATCAGACGGTGGAATATTTTAGGAAACACCGTTTTATAATGCATTGTTAGAAAACTCACTTAAACTGCCACGTCCTGAACCAATAACACAAGGTGTACCAGAAACGCCATACGTTATTGTAGGTGACAGTGCTTTTGCGCTAACGGAGAACATCATGAAACCATATCCTGGCATTCATGAACGTGGGAACAAAAAGCGTACATTCAATTACAGACTACCAAGAGCTAGGAGGATTATAGAAAATGTTTTTGGCATTTTATGTGTAGTGTTCCGTGTATTCACTAAACCTATTCAGTTAAAACCAGCCAATTATGAACTCGTGGTAATTGCTTGTGTATATTTACATAATTTCTTAAGACGTAACATAGTTTCCTCTTCCATATATACACCTCCACAAACTTTTGATTTTGAAGACTCTGAAGGTAACCTAATAGAAGGTTCAGGACGAAGCGAACTAGGTTCGTTTCCTATGGGCGATTTCAAATCAAATTAAATCTTTTTATTTTCAGACAACATAGGTCCATAAGGGTTAGTAATTAATTCTAATAGTAAGGGGGTTAGTAGTACTATATTATAATAATAATTTTATTTAAATAATTTACAAATCCGGACATTGTCCGCACATAGCTCTTTAATATAGGTGCATGTGGATCATCTACTATCATCCACAGGATGCTGTTGTCACTTCCCCATACGCGGCTTATGAGTGACGCCACTTTCCTGCGCATGAGTGCCTGAAAACGAGCTACACGAACTACAACGAGCGAATCTACGGACCAGCATGTTACCACGGACCGCCAAAGCCCTACGCTCTCGTTCTATGTCGAAATCGTCTCTTAGGTCGTCGGTAAGTATGTGGCCCAGGTACTTAAATTGGAAAACTCTGTTCAGCTCCACTCCACCGAGGCCAATTGGAGGTATAAATTCGGGACACTTACCGGCGGCCTTAAAGACCATAAATTCTGTTTTTCTGGCATTGTAGGCCAGACCATGCGATTTAGC